CTGGTTTACTATTCAGAGCAACCAGCTGGTTTATCAGAAGAAGTTCAAGGTGGGTAGCCCGGGTGCTGGAGGCCTGGGCCCAGGGAGGTCCGCCCTTGCTTCCTGTGGCTGAACATCTGCCCCTGCACCTCCCCCTGCCAGGACCCTGTGACCGTGGTGGTGGACGACCTTCGTCTCTGCACGGTGAAGCTCTGCCCCGACTCCGAGAGGCGGTTCTGCTTTGAGGTGGTGTCTCCTAGCAAGTGAGTCTGATCCCAGAGGTGGCGCTCTCATAGCTCTCAATAATCTTCTCCAGCTGGAAAGGTAGGGCCAGTCACCGAGGCCCCCGTGGAGCAGAGGCTGGAGGCCCCCCATGAAGCCCTAGGCATTCACCCTTCGGCCTGAGGATGGGTATAGGCTGAGAGGGGATATTTAGAAGGACATAACCTCTTGGTGCAGAAATATTTCCCTATGATTGATACCAGCGGAATACTAGCTGAATGTCAGCCTGCCCGTCTGCCACTTGCTCTCCAGACCTCAGACCCCGCCCTGCTCTCCGTCCCCTCTCCTGCCCAGGTCCTGCCTCCTGCAGGCCGACTCGGAGCGTCTCCTACAGCTGTGGGTCAGTGCCGTGCAGAGCAGCATTGCCACGGCCTTCAGCCAGTCGCGCCTGGATGACAGCTCCCGGGGTTCAGGCCAGGTACCTTTACGTGGGGGTCCAGGGCAGGTGGGACATCCCTTCCCCTAGACCCCATGGTCACTCTTCCTTCCCATCTGCCCCAGGGCGCAGGACACCTTGTCATGGGCTCTGCTGCCACCCTGGGCCCCGGCGGGACAGCCAGGGGAAGGGAGCCCGGCGGAGTGGGGCATGTGGCAGCCCAGGTGCAGAGTGTGGATGGCAACGCCCAGTGTTGCGACTGCCGGGAACCAGCGCCTGAGTGGGCTAGCATCAACCTTGGTGTCACCCTCTGCATTGAGTGCTCCGGCATCCACAGGTCGCTTCCCACAGCCCCCCGCCCGGGCCCATTCCTCCTGGCTGCTGGGGGAACGGAGACAGAGCCCATCGCACGGCTCTCCTTTCCGCCTGCCCCGGCGTCCTCTCCGATTCCGGCTGTCCCTGGGCACACGCCTGGGCTGAGCCTGTGGGGCACCAGGCGGATGCAGGGGGGCCCAGCTCCCAGTCCAGCCGGCAATTGGGGACCCACAGTAGTTTATTGGTTTGACTGGAGAGGTGGGGTCAGGACTGCTGAGGACGGGTGAGCCACTGAAGAGCAGAGAGACAAGAGGTTGTGAGGCCTTAGCAAGTCTATGCAGCCCACACCCGAGCCAGTCCGGTAGGAGAATGGCAAGAAAGAGCTGTCTAGGCCAAAGCACCAAGAGTGAAGGGAGTGATAGAGAGGAGGAGACTCTGAAAATGAAATGCAGAAGTGAGACGAGGGGATGTGAACAGGCAGGACCTGCCAGATGCTGGTCAAGGTACAGGGCCCCGGCTGCCCTGTGCCTCCTGGCCCAGGGCCTCTCATGGCCCCAATGCAAGACCTTGTCTCCAAGTCTTCTTAGGATCGGCAGCTGCTCCCACGGCTGCTGCCTCACACAGGGCCTGACTCCCCCTCTGGCCCTCCAGGAGCCTGGGAGTTCACTTCTCCAAAGTCCGGTCTCTGACACTGGACTCATGGGAGCCGGAACTAGTGAAGGTGATTTGGGGGTGTTGTGAAGAGAGGGGAGGTCGGATGGGCTGCGGACAGGGCTGTGGAGCCCGAGGGCTCAGACTCTGCCCCCTCCCTACCTGATTGCCTGCCTCCGCCTTGGCACCTGAAGCTTATGTGCGAGCTGGGGAACGTAGTCATCAACCAGATCTACGAGGCCCGCGTGGAGGCCCTGGCAGTGAAGAAGCCGGGGCCCAGCTGCTCCCGGTGAGGCTGGGGGAGGGGTTGGCTGCCCTCTGCGGGGGGGGGGGGGGGGGGGGGGCTGGGATGGGAGGGGGGAACACTGCCTCCTTCTCCTCCTCACCCCTGCAGGCAGGAGAAAGAGGCCTGGATTCATGCCAAATACGTGGAGAAGAAGTTCCTGACCAAGCTTCCTGAGATTCGGGGGCGAAGAGGCGGCCGGGGGCCCCCGAGGGGGCAGCCCCCTGTGCCCCCAAAGCCCCCCATCAAGCCCCAGCCAGGGAGCTTCCGGTCCAAGCCAGGTAGAGGGCCGGCTGGGCATTCACTGGGCACCTGCTGTGTGCTCAGCGCTGTGCCACACCTGGTGGGGAGGTTCCGAGTGTGGGGCCAGGCCTTCCCTTTGAGAACGCTGAGCAGCCAGGTGCATCGGCACCGGTTTCAGAAGGTGAGAGGTCTGGGGTTATAGTGAAGGACAGGAAGGAGCATGGGCTGGGAGTGGGCAGGGCGGGCGATGGAAGGTGTCAACACGTGAGAAAAGTCAGCAGGGAGAATGAGCTGCGTCTCCGGAGGCCTGTGAGGCAGGTGTGAGTTTGGCTGGAGCAGAGGGAGCTGAGGGAACCTTCAGTGAGTCAGCTCGCCCACAACACCCCAGCCAGTCCGGGTGGTTGGACAGGAAGAGGTGGTGATGCTTTCTAGCCCTGGGGACCCCACACACATCCACACTCACGTACACCTCCCCTTCCCACCGCTCCCCGCAATCTGGGAGCCTCCGCACAGCTGAGGAGTGACCTCCCCCGTGACAGCCGCAGGGGACTTTGCCGAGGGTTTCCCCCCAGACTCAGAGCCAATTCCCCCTGACAGAGCCACCCTCGGAAAACCTGGGCAGCCTGCACCCGGGGGCCCTGCTGTTCCGAGCTGCTGGGCACCCTCCATCCCTCCCCACCATGGCTGACGCCCTCGCCCACGGAGCTGACGTCAACTGGGTCAACTCGGGTCAGAAGAATGCCACGCCGCTGATCCACGCCACAGCTGCTGTGAGCGTCCAGCCAGTCTCCCATCCACCCTACGTCGCCGGGTCGTCTCCCCACCCCTCCTCCACCTCATAGGGCGTGGTAACCGTTTCCCCATCCGTACGCTCCCTCATGAGGTCGCACTGGGATGTAATGTACTGAGAGGTTCAGAGCCAGAGCAGAGCCTGACACCTAGTTGTACCCCTAAACCCCTGATCCCATGCCCTGCTCTCCGAACTGTACAAACCTTTAAATCTGCCTCTACAGCTGCCACCCTCTCCCCCCTTTCTCTGCTTCTCAATGCAGAATTCTCTTCTGGCCTGTGAGTTTCTCCTCCAGAACGGGGCGAATGTGAACCAAGCGGACAGCCAGGGCCGAGGCCCACTCCACCACGCCACCATCCTTGGCCACACTGGGTAGCACAGGCAGCGATGATGGCCGTGGGGAGGAAGGTTGCAGACGGGATGAGCTGCTGGCTAACCCCGGCTGTCCTCTCCAGACTGGCCTGCCTGTTCCTGAAACGGGGAGCTGACCTGGGAGCTCAGGACTCTGAGGGCAGGGACCCTCTGACCATCGCCATGGAAACAGCCAACGCTGACATCGTCACCCTGTGAGGATACCTGAAGGGGCGGGACTAGCACCTTTCCCACGGGAGTGGCTAACTCCACGACCGAGATGCCTGGGGAGGGGCGTGGTCAGCTCCTGGGCGGCAGCAGACGGGATGCTCCCAAGTGCTGACTGGGAACCGGAGTAGCAGGGTGTGGGCAGGGTCCAAGGACAGTGAGCTCATCCTGAGAGTCAGTATTTGTCAACATTGTTGCCAGGCATCTTTTAATCACTGGGCCCTGGGCAAAGAGATGAATAAACAACCCAGCTCAATGGATGGGAAGCGGGGGTTGGGGGGCATGGCTGTCATTCATTCATTCATTCTCTCCTCTTTAGGCTGCGATTGGCAAAGATGAGAGAGGCAGAAGCAGCCCAGGGCCAGGCTGGTAAAGTACCCCCACCCCTGCTCCATCAGGCCTTTCACTGTAACTCTGGCTTCTGGCCCCTGGTGACCAGCTTCATTGATTAAGTCTATTATCAACAATGCACTGGGCGTACTGGACACACCAGGCCTCAGAACAGAGGGGAAAAACAGGCAGGAGTTGTGCCGTTAGCTCAGGTGTTTCCTCCCCCCACACTCTTGCCAGGACCACCCCACTGTCCCCAGCATCCTCTCCTGAGCTGGGGGCCCAGCCTTCGCGGTTCCCAACCCTCCCTCCCTCCCCTCAGGAGACGAGACGTATCTGGACATCTTCCGTGACTTCTCCCTTATGGCATCAGACGACCCCGAGAAGTTGAGCCGGCGCGCTCAGGACCTGCACACCCTTTGATTCCAGGCCTTCCAGGGGAGGGCCTGCGACCCACCCTTCCTCACCCACCGCCCACCGCCCTCACCCTGTCATTAAAGCCTCTGTGCTTTGATCTTCGCTTCGTAGCTTTTATTGGGCGCCACCTGGACCCGCTCCACCCTAGGCTGTCAGGTGCTGTGGCTCCTGGGATGGGAGTTGGTGAGGTCGAATCATACAAGGGACAACTCCCGAGGGGGGTGGGGTGGGAGAGGGGACAGAGGGAGCCGTGGCCTCAGCCCTCGCACCGGGAGGCCCTGGGGCGGGGCTCGGGCTCCGGCGACGTGGCCAGGCCCGTCGGGCAGAGGCGCGGCAGCCCGCGTGGGCTGAGGCCGGCTTCCCTTAGGGGCGCTGGCGGCCGGCCGGGTGCAGACGCTGGCTCGGCCGCCCCAGCCCGGCGGCATCCCCGGAATGCCGCGGCTCAGCACCCGCCCCCTCGGGAATTCCCGGAGCATTAGAAGGGGGCCGGGCCCCCGCGCTCGGGCCGCGCCTGCTTTCCCGGCGGCGGGGGTGGGCCTGCGCCGGCCTGCGGACGTGAGGCCCCGCACACCTGGGCCGCGGGCGGCGCGGCCACATCCGGAGCGACAGCACGAGTCACCAGCCCCCGCCCGCCGCCGGCCCAGCCGGTGCCCCCGCGCCCCCGGGCGCCGCTCCGCTCCCACCGCCGCCGGAGCCGCAGCCCGCGGGGGCGGGGCGGGCGCCCTCCGAGGGGGCGGGGCGGGCCGAGGGGGCGGGGCTGCCCTTAAAGGAGCAGGGCGGCAGCGCAGGCCACTTCCTGGGGGCGGAGAGGCTGAGGCAGCAGCTGAGGCACTGGTCAGCTCCATCCGAGACTCGCGGCCGCTTCCATCCAGTCCTCGCACAGTCGCAGCGGGATTTAGCGCATCCTCGCCCGCAGCCAGCCGAGGCACCGCCGCGGTCAGCTCCGGGAGCCCCGCCTCCACCTCCTGGGACCCGCGCTGGAGCCGGGCCACGGCCAGGCCCCCGACTGGCCCCCAGGACCCCGGTGGGTCTGCCCACGGCGACGGCGATCCCCCGAGGACTCGGGAGCCGGACCCTCCCGAGGCGGCCTGGTGCGCGCCGTCACCTGCGGGCTGAACTCCGGAAGCCACTGTCTGCAGCCCACGGAGCGGAACCGCTGGCCGCCCACATTGGATGCGTCTGGACCGAACTTGCCTTCCTCTTGGGCTTCCCTGTGCTCCTTCCATCCGCTCTCTAAGCCTCTGGGCGCCCCTGTGCCCGGAAGCCACCCCCTACCACCGAGGTAGCGGGGGTGAACCCCCCGAATCTTGCTGCCTTAGGCTCCAACCAGTGCCTCCCACTGAGGCCGAACCTTCCGACCCAAGTCTGCACACCCCCAGGAGGTCCTGCCTTTTTCTCCTTTGGTGTCTCCAGCACTCCCCAAAATTTCCCCTCCTCCTGTGCCCTCTTCACCCCCTTCCTTCGGGGGCCCCGTGACCCTGAATGTGGGGGGCACGCTCTATTCCACCACTTTGGAGACCCTGACCCGCTTCCCAGACTCCATGCTGGGGGCCATGTTCAGGGCCGACACCCCCTTCCCCCCCAACCTCTGCTCCCAGGGAGGCGGCCACTACTACTTCATTGACCGCGATGGCAAGGCCTTCCGGCACATCCTCAATTTCCTGCGGCTGGGCCGCCTGGACCTGCCCCTGGGCTACGGGGAGACGGCGCTGCTCAAGGCCGAGGCCGACTTCTACCAGATCCAGCCCCTCCTGGACGCCCTGCGGGAGCTGGAGGCCTCCCAGGGCAGCCCCGCGCCCTCGGCCGCCCTGCTGCACGCGGACGTGGAGGCCAGCCCCCGCCTGGTGCACTTCTCCGCCCGCCGCGGCCCGCACCACTACGAGCTCAGCTCCGCCCGCGTGGACACCTTCCGCGCCAACCTCTTCTGCACCGACCCCGAGTGCCTGGGCGCCCTGCGGGCCCGGTTCGGCGTGGCCGCCGAGGAGAGGGCAGAGGGGGGGCCCCACTTTCGCCTGGAGTGGGCCCCCCGCCCCACAGAACTCCCCGAAGCGGAGTACGGGAAGCTGGGGCTGCAGCCCCTGTGGACCCGGCGGCCGGGGCAGCGGCGGGAGGTGGTGGGCACCCCGGGCTTCCTGGAGGAGGTGCTCCAGGTGGCCCTGGAGCACGGCTTCCGGCTAGACTCCGTCTTCCCTGACCCCGAAGACCTGCTCAACTCCAGATCGCTGCGCTTTGTCCGCCACTGAGAACTCAGAACTGGGAGGACCGCCCTGGGTTTGACTGTGGGACAGGATTGGGGCGGTGTGTGTGTGTGGGGGAAAGGGACAGCAAAGGGGATGAAGGCTCCCCTGCAGACCCTTCCTGGCTCTGCTCTGGGGCCGAGTCAGAGGTCCTATTGCACCTGACTGGAGCCCACATGTGGGCAGGACTCTCCAGCCCAAGCCCACTGCGGGCTCACAGGCGGTATGGAGGGGCCGGACTGGTGCTGATCCTGGGAGGGTGGCGGCTGCCCTGGCTCATTCTCACTGAGCCTGTGGGCCTCCAGGTTCATTGGTTGGAGCTCAGTATGCAGGGGTCTGGAAAAGTGGGGGGGGGGGGGGGGCACTTCTCTGAACAATGCAGGGACACAGGCCTAGAAGGAAGGGGGATTTTTTTTAAAAAAAAATACATATTTTATTGATTTTTTACAGAAAGGATAGAGAGTTAGAAACATCCATGAGAGAGAATCACTGATCGGCTGCCTCTCGCACACCCCTTACTGGGAATGTACCTGCAACCAAGGTACATTCAATTCCTTGACCGGAATCGAACCTGGGACCTTTCAGTCCACAGGCCAACGTTCTATCCACGGAGCCAAACCGGTTTCGGTGAGGTGATTGCTCCCAATGTGGCCTCCTGGACTGTGACTTCTAGAGCACAGTGGCCTGGCCGGGCCTGACCAGTGGCATAAGAAGGAACATAGGGAGGGACATTCTTTGCTGTGTCCCCAGGCACCTACCGAGGGAGACAGAAAAGCTGCACCCCACCCTAGGCCGGCAGGAGGCAGCCAGGAGGATCCCCACTCACTGTGGGAGGAGCATCCCTCTGGAGACCCCGGGTTTTTAAGCATCTGGTGCTGACGGTGGAGCTGGCCATGGGCAGGAGGACAGGCTCTTTTTGGCCCTTGGCCCACCTTCCTTCCTGTGTACGTGCGTGTCTGACTGATGTGCACGTCCCCGACATCCGGGCGTCCACCTGTGTTGTGGGCGACGGTGTTTCTGTGTCTCTGCGTGTCCGGGCCTGCTTGGGGTTGCTCACACACTGGGCACCAGGTGTGTCTGTGGCTGTGAAAATGAATAGTTTAACCACCAGGGGTGTGTGTGTGTCCGCGTACACGTGCGTTCACGTCACCACGTATGCAGGAGGGGCCTGTTGGGATTTCGGTCGCTGGGAGGGGAAAGAGGGGAAAGAGGAGTCAGCTCGGAGCAGAGAGGAGCCGGAGAGGTTGGGAGGGCCGGGAGGCTATGGGGAGGGATGGGGTGTTTGCGTCCCCGCAGGGAGGGATACTCATGGACAACTTCTCTGGGGGGGTCGCTTATTATTTATCGCTCACAAGAAGAAAAATAAAGTTGCTTTTGGAACCACACACTTGTCGAGGCTGCTGAGGGCCAGGTGGGGAGTGCCGTCTTCCTCTGCCCCTCTGCCCCTCTCCTGGTCCCCAGGGCAGCGGGACTGTTCTGGAATGCTCTAGAACCTCTAACTGTTCTGGAACTCTGCGACTTTCAGGCAAAGGACTAGAACCAGGGTCCCAGAGCCTCCCTCTCCCGCAGCCCCCTGGGCCTCATGTGGACTCTGGCACTAGCGGTGGCTCTGCTGGGGGCTGCCCAGGCCTGTCTCTTCTGCCGCCTCCCAGCGCACGGCCTGTCGGGCCGCCTGGCGTGGCTCTGCAGCCGGATAGAGGCCCAGTGGAAGGACTGCGAGGCCTCCTGGAACTTCTCCACCTTCGCCCTAGGTAAGCCCAGCCACCCAGGGACGGCTCAGCGACAGCCCCCCCCCCCCCCCCACACACACACACGGCCCCAAGCAGGGCAGTGTGTGGCTCCCCTGCTGCGCCCCTCAGCTGGGTCCTGGACGCCACGGCCTCTCCCGCTGGGAGGGCGTCTGTGGACAGTGGGAAAGTCCAGAAAGAATCTAATGGGCTAATGAGGACATCACTGCTCCTTGCCTGTCCCCACAGACGAGGTGTCCATGAACAAAGTCACGGAGAAGACGCACAGGGTCCTGAGGGTCATGGGTGAGGTCACTGGGGAGGGAAGGCACAACCCTGGGGCTTGGGTCGATGCCAAGGAGGGGGCTGGGAGGAGGGGCTGGCAGGAGGGGGCTGGGAGGAGGGGCTGGGAGGAGGGGCTGGGAGGAGGGGGCTGGCAGGAGGGGCTGGGAGGAGGGGCTGGCAGGAGGGGCTGGCAGGAGGGGCTGGGAGGGCAGGGAGGAGGGGCTGGGAGGAGGGGCTGGGAGGAGGGGGCAGGGAGGAGGGGCTGGGAGGAGGGGGCTGGGAGGAGGGGGCAGGGAGGAGGGGCTGGGAGGAGGGGCTGGCAGGAGGGGGCTGGCAGGAGGGGGCGGGGAGGGCAGGGGGGAGGGGCTGGGAGGAGGGACTGGGAGGAGGGGGCAGGGAGGAGGGGCTGGGAGGAGGGGGCTGGCAGGAGGGGGCTGGGAGGGCAGGGAGGAGGGGCTGGGAGGAGGGGGCTGGCAGGAGGGGGCTGGCAGGAGGGGGCTGGGAGGGCAGGGAGGAGGGGCTGGGAGGAGGGACTGGGAGGAGGGGGCAGGGAGGAGGGGCTGGCAGGAGGGGGCAGGGAGGAGGGGCTGGCAGGAGGGGCTGGGAGGAGGGGCTGGGAGGAGGGGCTGGGAGGAGGGGCAGGGAGGGCAGGGAAGGGTGGAGGGCAGGTGGAGACAGAGGGAGTGAGTGGGAGGTGCCCGGGAAAGGGGTGGAAGTCAATATGTACTGTGAGGCCCCTGTGAGGCCCCGGGCAAAATGGCTGCCCTCTGCCTCCCCAGAGATCAAAAGCTCCTTCTCCTCGCTCCCTCTCTATTGGCAATGGCTTCACAAGACCGGGCTTCCTGAGTACGAGAGGGAAGGTACTGGCGGAGGAGGGGCCCAGGAGGCCTGGGTCTGGGGCACAGGGGCTGAGGGCTCACCTGTGCCCACCTCTCTCCTCCAGCTCTGTGCAGCCCCGCCTGCTGTGAGTAGAGAAGGAAAGGGACCGAGGCCGCCGTGGGCTCCGGGAGAGCGGGCGGCGCGGGAGGAGGCGGTGCTCCGGGAGGGTGGAGTGGGGCCGCCCCAGCGCCGGACCCGCTGTCTCCTGCAGGGGGCAGCACCATCCTGTACAACTGCTCCACCTGCGCGGGCTTTGAGGTGCTCTGCTGGCCCCTGAAGCGCTGCTTCCCAGGTCCTCACCCCTCACCCCCACCCCGCGGCCGGCCCCGCCTCACCCAGCCCTCTGAGCCCAGAGGCTCCCGGGGTTGGGGGGTGTGGCTCCCAGCATCTTTCCCTGTTCCCTGGGTTCCCCACAGGAAGCCACGATCTCCAGGAAGCCAGGATTCTGCTCCTCTGTGTCTTTGGGACGGTCCTGCTCCTGGGCGGCCTTAGCCTGGTGGTGGAGTGAGTGCGGGAGGCTGGGGGCGGGAAGCGGCCTCGCTGCCTCTGACCCGCCCAGGGCTCTCCACCACCCTTCCCTCCCAGTTTCCTCCCCTCCCCTTCCCTCCTCTTCCCTTCTCTCCCTTCCCTCCCTGTTTCCTCCCCTCCCTTTCCCTCCTCTTCCTTCCCTTTCCCTCCCCTTCCCTTTTCTCCCTTCCCTTCTCCTCCCTTCCTGTTCCCTCCCTTCCTTCCCCTTCCACTCCCATCACCTCCCCTCTTTCCCTTCCCCTCCTCTCTCCTCTCCTCTCTCCCCTTCCCTTTCTTTTTTTTAATATATATATATATATTTTAATATATTTTATTGATTTTGCACAGAAAGGAAAGGAGAGAGATAGAAAGTCAGAAACATCAATGAGAGAGAGTCATCGATCAGCTGCCTCTTGCACACCCCCCACCGGGGATATGCCCGCAACCAAGGCACATGCCTTTGACCGGAATCGAACCCGGGACCCCCCAGTCCCCAAGCTGATGCTCTATATCCATTGAGCCAAACCGGTCCCGGCTCTCCCCTTCCCTTTCCCTCCCATTCCCTGCCTTCCCTTCCCTTCCCAGACCTCCCACCTCCATCTTCCCTCAGGCTCCACTTCCTTGAAGCAAAAAGCAACTTACGAAGATACTAGCCTCCAGCTGGGAAGAGCTTGTACCCATAACTTCCACGTAGCTTGGGGGGCAGGGGAGGTGTGAGGCTGCCAGCCCCTTCGTTCCAGCCCCTAAAGTTCAGTCTTCCAGATTCTAAAACCCCCACGATCCTACTGCCAGCGGGCCTCGGGGACCAGGCGCCCACCGGTGGAAAGTTCCTCCCCTCCAGCCTCACCCAATCAGACAGGCCGTCACCAGTGCCAGGAAAATGTCTACAGAAGGAAAGAATCCCCTCCACTCGCTCTCCCACACCCACACCCGTCGGCCGGCCTGTTCCCGTAAAGCGGGGGCCGTTTGCCCCAGACGCTCCTCCTGTGACTGATTGGGAGTCCGGGAATGAGGATTCTGGAGAACAGCAAAACCACATCAGTCAGTCCGCTGGCACGCTGGCCCTCCACTAACACGGTGAAGCCCGGCCTCCCTCAGGCTGCCCGCCTGCCAGGCCCCACTAAACGCGCTGTGCAACGGCCTCCGCCCTGCCTGCTCTCTGTCTGCGCCTGGGGTGGGAGGGCAGGAAACTTAGGGGAGCACAAGGGGGGATTTTGCACCCCATGAGACATTTGCCCCGCCTGGAGCCATTGTTGATTGCTTTGACTGGGGGATAAAGCTACTGGCACCAGGGAGTGGGCAGAGACCAGGGAGCCCTCCCCCACTAGGAGTGATCCAGTCAAAATGTCACTAGTATGTGGCAAGGAAACCCTGCTTCAGAGGCAGTGAGGCCGCTTCAGGAGTTTTGGTCTGGGAGATGGGAGGTGGGACATGAAAAGAAAGGCCTAGCCTAGCCCTAGACGGTTTAGCCCAGTGGATAGAGCCTCAGCCTGCAGACTGAAGGATCCCAGGTTTGATTCCAGTCAAGGGCACATGGGAAGGTTGCAGGCTCAATCTCCAGTAGCGGGTGTGCAAGAGGCAGCTGATCAATGATTCTCGTCATTGATGTTTCTCTCTCTCTCTCTCCCTTCCTCTCTGGAATCAATTAAAATATTTGGGGGAAAAGAAAGAAAGAAAAGAGAGGCCTGTCACCAGGGCCTGGGCCTGGAAGGGGTCTGAGCCCTCACCGACCTCAGTGGTTTTCACATTGGATACTTGGAGGCTCCAGGGCCAAGGTTCTCAACCAGCTGCACCTCAGTCACCTGAGAAGCTTTAAAAACCACCCATGCCTGGACCTCATCTTCAGAGATTCTGAAGTCAGTGGCCTCCTATGGGGCCTGGCTCATCTCACGTACAGCCAGGTTTTGGGGTTACCCAAGGAGGCCCTGGGATGGGAAGAAGCATGCCTACCCCTTCCAGGAGAGTACCACCCATGTTGTTCAACATGTTCTAGTCCAATGCCGTCATTTTATACACAAAATGAGACCCAGAGATCTCACAGCAAGATTACACAACTTGCCCAAGATCATGCAAGAACTCGTTCGTCCACTCATTTGACCCACACTTAGTGAGTGCCCACCAGGTGCCAGGCAGCGTCACTTCCCAGCGGGGATGAGAAGCGCAGTCCTAACTGCCCAGGGATCCCCCTCTCCTCCGGTCTGCGGTAGCTGCTCACCCCCGCCTGTGCTGTACCGCTGTTCCCAGGCCCAGCATTTTGGAGTTGTCCTTATGTTCACACCCAACATGCATAGGTCAACCGCTTCTGCCCATTCATGAAGGACCTCTACCGGATCTGTCCCCTCCTCCCGCCCCATGGCACCCAGGCCCCTTCTAGAACCCTCTCCCTGTGGACGTGTCTCCAAGACATGCCATCTGACTTTGCCCGCTCCCCTCAAATACTTTGTACCCTCAGTACAAAGGCCACACTGGTCTTAAAACTACGCATGCTCACAACCTTCTGTCCAACAGCAAAAGATAGTTAAGAATTTGGGCTTTGCCCTAACTGGTTTGGCTCAGTGGATAGAGCGTCGGTCTGCGGACTCAAGGGTCCTGGGTTCGATACCGGTCAAGGGCATGTACTTTGGTTGCGGGCACATCCCCAGTGGGGAGTGTGCAGGAGGCAGCTGATTGATGTTTCTTTCTCATCAGTGTTTCTAGCTCTCTATCCCTCTCCCTTCCTCTTTGTAAAAAAAATTAATAAAATATTTTTTTTTAAAGAAAAGAAGAATTGGGGCTTTGTCTCAGAGGGAAGGCAGGGGAGGGAGGATGTGTGGGAAATCTTCAATCAAGAACCTTGTCTGGCCCATGGTCACGGACAACGGGACCTGAGGGCCTGGGTGGGGTGGGAGTGGGCTGGAGGGGGTCAATGGGGGACTTTCAACAATGAAAATTTAATAAAAAAAGAAAAGAGAACTTGGGCTTTGGATTGAGCTTCCGATCCTGGCTCTAGCTCTTAGTGGGCCTTGGGCAAGTTACCTAACTTCTCAGTTCCTGTTTCTTTATATTTTAAATGCAGATCATGTGTTTCACCAATTCTGTGGCCTTATTTTTCCTGTTTACATTTTAACATCTCTGAAGAATCCATCTTAAACTGAAGACATATAATGGTATATACACAACTGGTGGTTTCTTAAATTCCATGAAATGCAGAAGTATTCACCTTATAGGATGACTGTGAGGTCCAAATAAGTGCATATAAAATACTTGGGACTGTACCCAACATGTAAGGAGCCCTCAGTAATCATCAGCCATTCTAATATCTTAGTTAAAACTTCCCTTCGCGCTGAAACTGGTTTGGCTCAGTGGATAGAGCGTCAGCCTGTGGACTGAAGAGTCCCGGGTTCGATTCCAGCCAAGGGCATGTGCCTTGGTTGCAGGCACATCCCCAATGGGAAGTGTGCAGGAGGCAGCTGATAGATGTTTCTCTCTCATCGATGTTTCTAACTCTCTTTCCCCTTCCTCTCTGTGAAAAATCAATAAAATATATAAAACACACACACACACACACACACACAAAAAAAAAAAAAAAAAAAAAAGGAAAAGAAAAAGAAAGAAAAGAAAACCTCCCCTCACTCTTCCTTGTCTATAGACTATAGACTTGGGCCTGGCTGACGTGGCACAGTGGGTGGGCATCGATCTATGAACCAAGTGGTCATGGTTCCATTCCCAGTCGGGGCACATGCCCAGATTGTAGGCTTGGTCTTCAGTGTGGGGTGTGCAGGAGGCAGCTGATCAATGATTCTCTCTCATCATTGATGTTTCCATCTCTTTCCCTCTCCCTAAGAATCAATAAAAACATTTTTAAAATATATTTTATTGATTTTTTACAGAGAGGAAGGGAGAGGGATAGAGAGCTAGAAACGTCGACGAGAGAGAAACATCGACCAGCTGCTGCTTGCACACCCCCTACTGGGGATGTGCCCGCAACCAATGTACATGCCCTTGACCGGAATCGAACCTGGGACCTTTCAGTCCGCAGACCGACGCTCTACCACTGAGCCAAACCGGCTTCGGCAATAAAAACATTTTTAAAAAGAAAAGAATATAGACTTGGCCCTTGACCCTGGCGTTCAAAGCTCTCCATCGGCAAGCAGCTCCCCTGTCTCATTGGTCCTCAGGGCAAACCTGTCCAAACACATATCAAACCAGAATCTCCACTCGGATGCCTCACAGGCATCTCCTACCCCACACCCCACACAGTCCTTCCTTCCTGACCCCCACCCCTGCCCTGTGATCTCTCCCAGGCCTGATGGCAGTGCCAGCGGACCATGGGCACCCTCTGCCTTCCATGCCACGTGCCCACTTCCCACCAGTAAGTGATCTGCCTCTGTAATGCTTCTTGGAACCTGACCCCAGCACGTCCCTGGAGCCTCGCCCCTCAGCTCTGTCCACCCCACAGCACTCTGAGTCACTCACAGTTGGCCAACACTGTTGTCTCATGTTTCCTTGCCTGTGCCCGGGCTTGTTCCTACCCCTGGGACACCCTTCTCCTCTGGCTCAGACTCCGCTTTTCCTTTTCCGGGGAAGCCTTCTCTGAGCCCCCGAGGCAGGGTGGACTGTCTGCGTGTGGCACCTATTACACCAGCTGGTGGTGTTTCTTCATGCAGCCCACCTCCAGGCCACGCCCCCTAAGGCCACTGATTCAAGTTCTCTGTCTTTGCTCCCCCGGGCCTGGGAAGCACCCTGACAACTCCAGCCCCTTCTCGGAGCCCCCGTGACGTGCCCTCCCCAAGGGAGCTCCTCCTGAGCACGTAGCACAGGAGGCTGGTGGCGTCTGTGTTTCTTTTCTGAGCACAGAAGGCCAGCTCACCGGGGCGTGGCCTCCCAGAGCCCTTCACATACATGGGAGGCTGCTAGAGGCATTTTATTTTATTTTTTTTAATGTATTTTATTGATATATATATATATATATATATATATATATATATTTAAATATATTTTATTGATTTTTTTACAGAGAGGAAAGGAGAGGGACAGAGAGCTAGAAACATCGATGAGAGAGAATCATCAATCAGCTGCCTCTTGCACACCTCCTACTGGGGATGTGCCCGCAA